GTAAGCCCGAGTACCACCTGAGGGGCACCTTAGGGGCTCTCAAGGGGGTCCGGGGCCCCCTCACGACCCCTCAAGGCCCCGTGTGGCTCTGAGACTCACCGTAAAAATGCCGTCTTTTTATATGCTTTGCCGTGCGCATGTCGGTAATATGAATCAATAATTCATATTTTTCCCCGCCCCCTTGAGTCGAGACCGATGCCAGATTGGCACTGAGGCGCTGGCACAGGGAAAAGGACCTCTCAGACTCCCAATTAGCAGCGCGATCAACATCCTCGCCCCCAAATATATTACCGAACTCGAGCGCGGGATCGATGCAAGGAGGAGGAGGCGGTGGTGGCCGCCGTGGTGGTGGTGGAGTAGCGGGCCGCGCCACCACCTCATATTTGCTCCTTGTACTCGCTCTCTGTGTTCACATGAGGTGAGGGAGTGACACGCTGGTTTTCTCACGCCCCTGCAATGCGTCCTGGTGTCACGCTCACGCCTCAATGCCTCTCTATCGGCCACACGAGCCGCCGCGACTCCGTAACAATGTCCACAAGTCGATTGATCGATTCACGTGTCGGATGAATGTACCTCGGAGTGTAAACAAAGTAAAAAGAAAAGGGAGTAGACTCGCTGCGCCCATAGATCGCGGCCACTCGGAGGGAGGCGAGGGAGACGAAGATCATCCTGAGTAGGTGCGCGAGGGGAACGCTGAAGACGGTGTGCAGGTCCTTATCGGGGCCCCACCTGTTTCTTGGGATGCCTGCCTTGCACTTGAATAGGTTTCCATCCAACCCTTAAAGCCAAATACGGAGTAGCAACGTGAGGTAGAAGGTTGAATAATGATTATAAAATATTACTTTGCTGTCATATCAAAGATCGATAAAGTATCTAAAATGCATCGCAGGGCTGATATGTATGCGTAAAGGGACAAGCGTTCTTGTCAGTAATACAAATAAGGCTAGTATTGTTGAAGGTTAATTCTAAAATTAAAGAACGATTCAAAAACATTGAAGAAATCTTTTGTTTTTATTTTTAATTTGTAGTTTATATGAAGTATATAGAATTATATGATACACAAAACAAAATGTTTAGTAAATAGAATTATTATTTTTGATTTCCATTACAATATCATTTTATGAGACAATTTTTACCAAACATTTATACATCATATATCAAGTCAAAAAGAAAAATAACTTTTGATAAATCTTTATACATTTAGAAAAAAATGTGTTATCTCCAGTAACAAACATATAAATTTACATCTTGAGATAACATAATCAGTAAAATCTCTTCAGTCAAGTCATTTCAAGGGATATTACAAAGTACATTTCATTACGCCAGAAATTCATTATAGATGTAATCTGATAAAATGCGAGGCAACTCTATTATTATTAACAAAGAAATGTTAAGCAACACAAATGCTGATAAAGTTCTCCGTCACCCGAGGCAAGAAGGAGCACAAAAGATCAAGTGTCTCTCGACCCGCGTAGCTATCAGACTGGGTCCCGTGCCGCTGAAGGTGTGCAGAGTGTCCGGTCAAGCTCACATTTTTAATACTCATGTTCTCTTGTTACCGCTGTCAGCCAATCTCCCTGACTTCATTGATGCATTGTCAGTGATGTCAGACTTCACGCAAGCGCACCTGTGACACCCTCTACACAGGCGTACTGTTGCTAGACTGACACAAGCGCACTTCACCCGCACTCCACCTGTCTCATCTCCCTTTCCAATAAACAAACGCCGATGTATCCATAAATTTATACTATAGCGTTGATGCCACCAGATGACTGCTTTACTGAAGAAAGAATTTCACTTGTTCGCTTATATAGATTAACATACATTTTTTAGAATTCTATATATTTTAACGTCTGCAGCTTACTCTAGCGATGCTCTCATAGGGACTCAAACAATAACACCTCTTCCACTTTGTTTATTCGCACACAACACCAGCGGGGAAGGGAGGGAACGTGACCCAGGCAAGGTTTAGCAGGGTAAGCCGTGGTTGTCCTGAGGTAGTGAGCAGCCCGCGGCCCCAAACACTGGGACGTATTAGGATTAGGGATTAGGAACTAGATAGGGAAGCAGTGGCAAGGCTGAAAACCACTGATGATGTGGGAGTGGTGGTGATAGCGCTGATGACAAGGGAGTGGTGATGGTAATGGAGGTAATTATGGAGTGATGATGATGGTGGTGGTAACACTAATGATTGAGGGAGATGATGGTGGTAGTAGGAAGGATAATAATGAGGGAGTGATGATGATGGCCTCGAGAGGTGAAGGAGGGGACACTAATATGCAAGAGGTGGTGCTGGCGATATGGGCAATGTGTTGCTGCTCTTTATGAAGGCATGATAGTTACCATTAGAATTAAAGAGCCGGGATGAAGCTATTTTATTTCCGACCGAAACATTCATTATACAGAGAAGAAAAGGGTTATTGTGACCGTCAAGTACCCACCAGCAGCGGAGTTTTCATAAATCTTAACCGGGAACAAGAGGCAGGAAGGGATGGAAGGG